GGAAGGAAGGAAGGAAGGAAGGAAGGAAGGAAGGAAGGAAGGAAGGAAGGAAGGAAGGAAGGAAGGAAGGAAGGAAGGAAGGAAGGAAGGAAGGAAGGAAGGAAAGTATAACATCGTTCACATTCTATGGGCTGGATTTATAGGGAAAGAAATTTTGCATATGTACATCCTGGATTTTACCACTTTAAGTTAAACATACTGCCTTTTTAAAGAGTTGCAGGGAAGAGATGGTTAGTGAGTTGAACTCTTCCTCCAATTTCCAAAATAGCCATTCTCACATAATTCAAAAAGAAAATTTTGTACCTGTACATGACAGTAATTTATCCCAAAATTTTAGTTTTTAGGAAGGGATTCATATCTGGTGTATAACTCCCTTTCTCTAGATTGAGTGTGGATAAGAGTACTTCTACATTTGGAGGCTTCATTTCACACATCTGGGCTGGGACACCCATTGTCCACCATTGCATCAGCTCAAAATTGCTCAGGGTTTCTAAAATTTAGTGTAAAATATCTAAAATTGAGTGTCAGGTTTGAAATGTCAGCCAGGCAACTTAGAAGTATTCAAACACTAACTGACTTCAGATGCCTGTGAAATCGGATGGCTTTAATAAACTGTTATTTTGTCAGCCGGCAGAGTGTTTTAGGATGTCTGGATGTAATCAGAGCATGGCAAATTCTGAGTCAGTTTACAGCTGACTCTACAATTCACTATATAACCATACAATTGCAATCTGAGAAACGATGCACACTAGGCAGAAAGCAGCTCGCTCTCGTATGAGGATGGAAAGGATTGTAAGAATGAAGAATCTTTTGCTGCTTCTCTTAATGTATGCAGCTGTTTCTAATGCTCTTCCTGCCCACCCCGAGAAAGACAACAAAGAGGATGCAAAGCTTGTAGAGGTAACTTTATTGTCTGTATCTGAGTCTATAGCCTCTCCTCTTAATTTAATCTGCATGTTCTAGCTGTTTGTTGTCTTTCTGAGACAATGCTGTCATACAGAACTCTGTGGTCCAAACTTTATTTAAATAGTATAATCAGTAAAAACTTGAAATGTCAAGTAAATAAGAATCCTGTTTCTGTTTAGCTATGTTCCTCAGGAAACATCTGTTTTTCTCTGAAATCAAAGGCAGATGATTCTGCTAGCACAATACACAAACAGTATCAGTCTTAAGGTATTATTTAAGAAACATCAAAACATGAAATGTGTTTGGTTTGTTTTTTTCATTAGGATTACTTAAGTAAATTCTATACCACTGAGGCAGACCCAAATCAGCGTGGATGGAAAACAAATGCTGATTTTACCGCTGAGAAACTCCAAAAAATGCAAAGATTTTTTGGTTTGAAAGTGACAGGAAAACCAGACACCGAGACATTAGAAATGATGAAGAAACCTAGGTGTGGTGTTCCTGATGTAGGTCTCTATGGCGTTACTCTGCCTGGATGGAAGAAAAACAATCTGACGTACAGGTAGTATTTCCATAATTAATTTTCTGTGCTTAAATTGTGGTTTTGTGGGTATCCACTTTTGTTATATTTAAATATAACTTCCATAGCAACGGTTTCCAGATGGGAAGACAAAAATATTTTTCTTTCTCCAGCTGTTACTGACCATATCCCTGAGAGCAATCTCTGAGAGTCAAGACGGATATTTTACATTTTATGAGTCAACTACAGAATTTTGCCTGTTATGCGTCATTCCAATACATATTCTGTGAGCCAAACAGAAATATCAGTTGCACCCAACACAAACCCCCCATTTTCAAAATTTGCTGTGACTGACAGCACAGTCACCGAGACGCAAGGAAACAATTTTCTTTATGCTCAAGAGACCAATTCCTGGATACAATCCATTTTGAGCAAAAGCTGTTACCATGTACACAATTATTTTTCTGAAAAAGACATATTGGACAGTCATCACATTGCTTAAACTCATTCAGTTCAAGATGAGTTTGGGGAGCTGTTGGGTTACAGTGTAATTTCTTCTTATGTATCTCTGTTTATCATCTTAACAATATCAGAGAAATTCTTTATGCAAGCACTAAGTATTATTGCTTGAACCTTCGTAACTGTAGAATTGTGAACTACACGCCAGATATGAGCAAAGAAGATGTGGATAAAGCAATCCAGAAGGCATTTAAAGTGTGGAGTACTGTCACCCCACTGATTTTCACTCGCATCCAAGAGGGAATAGCAGATATAATAATTGCTTTTGGGACAAAAGGTAATACACTGACTAAAAATCAATGGTAAGACTAATTTAAAGATTTTCCTGAAGTCGTGACATAAACTCGAAGCTATTTCAATATCATATTGTAGGACAATATCATAGAACAAGAGGTAATGGCCGTATTAGGTCATTAGGTTATTAGGAAAAATATCTTCTCAGAAACAGTGGTGAGGCATTGGAATGGGCTGCCCAGGGAGGTGGTGGAGTCACTGTCCCTGGAGGTGGTCAAGAAACATGGAGATGTGGCACTGGAGGGCATGGTTTTAGTGGGCATGGTGGGGGGGGTTGATGATTGGACTGAATGATCTTAGAGGTCTTTTCCACCCTTAGTGATTCTATCATTCCATGACTTTACTTAGCTCATGGACATTGCCCTCGCTATTTTGATGGCCCCCTTGGTGTTCTCGCTCATGCCTTCCCACCTGGCAGTGGTTTTGGTGGTGATGTTCACTTTGATGAGGATGAAGACTGGACCACAGGCTCAGATGGTGGGTAACAAAAGGTTTCTGAAATGCTGTGCAAATGGAAAATTGCTTTCTGATTTTATTAGGCAAAGGATAAACTGAGACAAAGCAAAGCACTAGCAGTTTGAGAATGTTACATGCTGCTGATGTGAAAACCAGCCTAATCTACTGTACACCATGTTACCAGATCCATGCTAAAAGCTATGTTTCACCTTCCAGTGCACATACTGGCTCCTGGCCTGCATTACCACACACTTCCAGTCCTCAGCAATAGCACTAAATAGGTCCCTCAATATTTTGTTGTAGCTTTACTTTGTATTCAATCTAGAATGGGCTGACGTGTGTAAGTGTTCTCCCTGCAATTTCAGCTTCCTGCAACAACTGGGGATCAGAACATTCTGTTTGGACCACCCATGGGCTGAGGTACAGAGTGGGGAAATGACTACTAATGTGTGCCACCAGGTGTGAAAAAAGAGGAGCACTGGGTATTCAACCTTCCACTTGGGACACAGCTGTTCTGCACCCAGCAGGCCATACAGCACCTGCTGCCTCTGACAAACCTGTCAGTACATGGGCACATTGCCCTCTTTTATTTTACACTCTTTTCTCATCTGATTTTGGGGATGGGAAACAGCAGAGGAGAACTGCAATAGACTTGAGGTCACACTGCAGGAAATACAAGGAGCTAACAAACAGGAAGGTGTTGTAAGAGCCCTGCACAAGGAGAGATGTGGGCTCACTGTGGCAGAAAAGAGCTGCAGCGTGGTGGCTGGGTTTGTCATGTGGACAAAATGCATTGCTTGTCCTATACCGGGAACGAATGGGTGAGCCTCAGCTTTGCTGCTATTCCTCAACAACACAGCTCCAGCAGTGATGTACTACAGGACCTGTTGGCGAGCTTGGAAAGCTCATGAGAAGAAAGGACAGGAAATGTGTGTGGAAACTTATGGCTTTGTTTGTCTTTTTGAGAAATGGAAATATTGGCTTCAGACTGCCTGTCTTGGGCAATCGATGACAGTCCTCTGCTCTGCCACAGGCTTGTGATCTCCACTGTTACGTTGCTGGCTCCCAGGCAGCAGGGCAGATGATTGTTCTTCCGAAATTCAGAAAGGCGTATTACTCGGAGGAATGCAAATAATTAAATGCACGTTGAAGGAAGTCCAATTCTTATCTGATTATTATGTTAATATTTCACTGGTAATAAGCATGCATAAGCATAATTTTTTAAAGGTATTTTATTTGGCAAGGCTATAGAGAAGATATACGCTTAAAACTCTTAGATAAAAAGGTAAATCATTCAGATAAAACTGTATTTTTCTTTGTCTGTTCATGACCTCAGCTTTGTTACACACAATGACACTTTGGTATCCCAGCTGAGCACACAGTGCACTCTCTTCTTTCCTTGTAGTGCTGTCAGTTTGACCTGACTCACGATCTGATCTGCTCAAGCTCAGCTGGGAAACCCTGCCAGGACACTCCTCAGGGCTGCACCCACACTCATCCCCAGACATCTATTCATGCCACACACATACTTTCAGCAGGTGATAGAAAGAACAGCCAGAAAGAGAGCCAAGAGTTGCTCCCTTTGAATGGTGGAAGAGTGAAACCTACCTACATATAAAATGTTTGTGTATATACACACATATACTATAGGAACATGTACATGTACATGCATACCCTAGTGAATTTTGATATATTGTGTGAAAATCAACATAGCATTAGTTGTGTTGTGTTCAGAATGTATTACTCAATTGTAGGTCAAAATTAGACCAACCTCTCTATCCATTTCTTAAGGATTCAATCTGTTCCTGGTTGCTGCTCACGAGGTTGGCCATGCGCTGGGTCTCTCCCATTCCAATGACCAGAGGGCCTTGATGTTCCCCAATTACGCATATATCAGCCCCAGTGAATTTCCTCTCTCCCCAGATGACATAAGTGGCATTCAGTCTATTTATGGTAAGTAAAATCCACTTCCTAAGAAAAAGAGAACTAAGCAACAGGGAAATAATTTCTTTCACAAATTTTCAACATGAAATTCTCATTGTATTCACATAATATCAAAAATCCATTTATATATGAAAAGTTTAATCTTTCTACAAATTCTGTGCTTTCTGAAACATCTCCCTAGGTTCTGCAACAAAAAACCCAGGTAAAAGGCCAGCCATCCCTGCATCACCTAACGCCTGTGGCCCCCAGATATCTTTTGATGCTGTAACTACACTCCGACGAGAAGTCATATTTCTAAAGGGAAGGTAGAAATTGATGTGGCTTTTGTCTATGTGGAGTTCATGTTTTCATGTTTGTTTTCTAGAAACCCTGAATGCCTAGGTGGATAACATAACTATGATTATGGGATTTACAATGAAACAAATGGATAGAATTCAGAAATAATAGTATATTGAAACAAAGGCTGTTAGCAGATAGATAGGAATTATGTTAATCTTTTTGTAGGATCCCTTGACAAAGTAGCCTACTTGTTGTTTCAGAAAACATCTTGATCCTAATAGATTTCCTCCCAAATGTATAGATGGTTACACCAAGCAGTGAAATGAATAATTGCTGCAGCCATTTCCTAAGGAATAAGTATGTTCTACAATATAGTTTGACCACTACCTCTTCCAGCTACCTATGCAAGCCTTGTGTCTGGGCACACAGAAAAAAGCCTTCTCATCTGGGACCCTATGCCTCTCACATTATACAGTACAACTTCAACCTGCATTTGTCAGCTGCTTGTAGGTGATACCATAAATCAACCAATACCAACGAGAAGGGTAATTCCAGAAATAAATCAGAACCAAAAAAAGCCTCATATCCCAAACAAGGGAGTTTTCCTTTCTGACACATCAGGTCAGGTAGTGCCACTGACATGAAGGAACTTGTAAGTCACAATGTTGTTCACATTCTTGCACATATGTAGAAACATCTGTGGTTTATTGTTTACTACTAAACCTGTTTCATATTTAAATCAGACACTTATGGCGAGTCTATCCTGATAACTCAGAAGTTGAACTTGAATTAATTTCTGCCTTCTGGCCATCTCTGCCATCTGGTATTCAAGCTGCATATGAGAACAAGAAAGATCAGATCCTGTTTTTCAAAGGTGGAGTATGGATTTTTAAAAAAAAATTTCTTACGTTTAATTTTGAGGAAAAATAGGAGGAACAAGGGTAGCTATATTTGAATTTGAAAACCATATCACCTTCAAAAAGGAAGGTTGGAGGGGTTTCATCAAGTTTTCCTACAATGTACACTGAGGGATTATATATATTTTTTTCATTTAGTTTCTCAAAATCTAGAGTAGAAGTTTAGAATTATTTCTTTTAATAGGGAATAATTTCTGGATTGTCAGTGGATATAAGGTGCTGCTTGGTTATCCAAAGAACATCAACACACTAGGCTTCCCTAAAGGTGTTAAGAAAATCGACGCAGCTGTTTGTAACAAACATACAGGGAAGACAGACTTCTTCATAGGTGACAAGTACTGGAGGTAAGAAAAATAGACAAGTACTTTCTGATGATTGATTCCCATATAATTACACCATTAAAATCATCTGTGGGATGAAAAAGAAATTAGACCTCTAGAGAACTCTGTGGAACTGGGTAACACAGACATAAAGAATGTGTTTGACTCCTGCAGGGAAAAGAAAACAGCTTCCACTTTAGAGAGCTTAATAGCGTGCTGGAACAGGCACCGAGGATCATAGAATCATTTTGATGTGTTATACTTGGAAGCTGAAAAAAAATCCAACATCTGGACTGTTTTTACAAATAAAGTAGACAAAATTATCTCTAGAAAATAAAGAATCGAGAGGTAACCTACTTCAGTGGAAGGCTGCCTGGATGGCCTGTGCAGAATTTCTCTGATTTCAGTTCTGAAAAGTCCTCTTCCCTTTGTTTAACTGATTAGAATTAGATTTACAGCACACAACTTTTAAATTTAGTATTAAATGTGGATGTTAGTGGTCCTGCCTGTGGTGGGGGGGATTGGAGATTCATGATCCTTGAGGTACCTTCCAACCCGAGCCATTCTGTGATGCTGTGACACCCTATTCACTGTCTGTACGAGTGATTGCCAATTCTTGAACACCAGGCAAACAGAAGTAAGGTCAGCTTTGGAAAGCTGACAGATTTGTCCTTTGTGCAAGGGCAACTGCTGCAAAGTTTTCTTCAGGCAACCAGGAGCATATGTGGGTCAAATTTACTTTGTTATGACTAATTGTGGGGCTCCTTGGTGAGACTTACTGTATCAGCTGGATTTTTGGCTGCATGTGGTTTCCTGTCCTTTGTTTTTGATAGTTTTGGAAAGAATGTTTACAATATCTTGCAGTTCTATTTTACTGCCTTGGTCACAAGATAAGAACCTAAGAAAACCACAACAGCACAAATTTCTTACCTAGTAACACTCGTTCTCTGAGTCTCAAGACCCTGTGACAATTATTTCTTGTATCCAAGGAGAAGTAAACAAAGGCTTGCTTAGATTTTTTTTTTTAATTCTGCAAATTCCATGTCTCTGTTAATATGATATAGGTATGATGAAAACACCCAGTCCATGGAGAAGGGTTATCCTAGGAGGACAGTCAATGACTTTCCAGGAATTAGCCAGAGAATTGATGCTGTTTTCCAACATAAAGGTACAGGAAATTTGGGTACCTGTTTTAGCAGGAGGGCTGGACTCGACGATCTCTTTGGATCCCTTCTAACCCCTGTGATTCTATGATTCTATCAAATGAGCTTTTAATTAGAATCAGTTTACTTATAATGAGTATAAGTTCAGGAGTTATTATAGATGCCATATTTCTGAATCTTGCAAAAGACAGAACTGAACAGATGCTCTCCTGTGTGCACAAAGATGGTGCTCCCCAGTTTGTTATAATGAAGCTACTTCTTGTTTGCATAGTATAATGGTTTATTTTTTATTCCTAGGATTATTCCACTTCTTCCATGGATCAAGGCAGTTGAAGTTTGACCCTACTGCTAAAAAAGTCATCAGTGAAATAAAGAGTAACAGCTGGTTTAACTGCTAATACCATTAATCTTTCCTATACACAGCAAATGAAAAAAAAGTTGTTCTAGATTTCTCTACAGTTGTTCATTTATGCACTGTTATATGGAAGAAATAGCTGGACTAGTTTTTGTATGTGTCTACTATTTTAAAGAATCAGCATTGCAGCTCTAATTGTATTTCCAGAGGTCAAGAGAAGAAAAGAAAAAAAGGTATTTTTTCTCCTGATTAGGTGCAAAATGTCCAATATAGTTTATGATACTGGACAGAGATGTCAAATATTTTGGTAATAAATCATTTTAAGTTTGACGTATTTTCGGCTTCATAAGTTGAGGGCATTTTGTCTTTCTAAGGGAAAGTGAAATAATTCATATTAATATGACTATTAAAGTTGTAACGTATTCTTCCAACACAAAATATTTGTATTTTCCTTCTTTTCTCCCCAGACATCTTCAAGAGCCAGGCTTTTTGTTACTCACTTATTCTGCTGCCTCATCTACTGCCATATTGTCCTGTACCTCTTTGGCTATAGCAACTTTGCACCTTTCACACCAAATCAATATTGTTGTCACCAAAGTCATCTCCCTGCCACACTGTCCAAATACATTTACTCACCCCAATCTGTCTTTCTAGCCTAACAGTTATTTCATGAGCAGCCACTTAGGATCAATTCACAAATCTCTGTGAGCCTACAAAAGATATCCTTCACAAATCCTATTTCAGAAATACATTCTTATATCATCTGCACTGCACTACCTCTGCTCTGATAGTACAAAATCTGTGCTCCAAGTGGAAATACATCTGACATTTATTGTGTGCTTCCACTGCACTCAGGGCAGACCCCTCACAAAACCAAGCAAAAACTATAAAATGACAGCTATAACTTCTTCAAGCATTTCCTCTACATTTAATTCTGGAAAGAGGCCCAGAGCACACTGCCAAATGGCTGTCATATCATGTGCACAGGTGGGAATATCTGAGAACTTGGTATCTTTGATATTGACTTGCCCCGCTCCTAGTTCTCCCATGTCTGGCTGTTTTACACACCTGTTGCATGTTTAAGTAAAAAGTTCATTTTTTCTATGTGCTCTTACCATGCTAGATGCAACAATGGAATGGTTCCAACCCAGACCTTAACAGTTTGATTTGGTCTAAAGGATGCTGTCCTTTTGTTGCTGCCATTGCTATGAAACTGTCTGGCTTGGTTCCCAATGGGAAACCTTAGTGGAGGATCAGATATGCTATCTCACTGATCTACAACACTAATCACAGTGAAGAGCAGCATACTCTAGATCCTTAACAAAATTTAAAGTGGGATGAAACAGTAGACATTTGGTGGAGATTCATCTGACAACTTCAGCTTTCTGTCTCTGTATTCATAGTCTACATGAGTTAGGGAAGATCAAAAGCAGAGGGAGTTCTCCATGGTGTTACTCATCTCATCCAAAGATTGTGTTAGGACAAGTCAGTACCTCCAGCTCCTGGAGAAAACATCTATTTTCAGAGATGAGCCAGTCAACTAACCTAGAGTAACTAGTTTTCAGACAGCTGAAGTTTGTTGAAACGTACAGCGTCATTGCTAAGCATTTTTCAGTTTTTATGGGATTCCAAACAGAAGGGCATGCCATTTTTATCTTTTCTGATGCTCACTTTTTGGTGAGACACACCACTGCTTTATCACTATAAGTCGGTGATAAAGCTGAAGGCACCTACTTGGACCAACACTACCAGTGGAGTGGCCACGAAGGAGCTGGTGAGGCAGTTATGCCCAAATATTTATACCCAGAGGCAAGTTTATTCTTTCATACACTCTGCTTGGTGTGTAACACAATCGTAATCTTAGCTGCAAGAAGTTTAATGGCTGAGTCATTAAGGTTACTCAGTGTTTCATAATACATGGGCAAGTTCCTCTACTTCAAATACATAAACAAACATCATAGCTATTCTGTGCTCCTTTTCTCGCGTGTTTCATTGTTTCGCAACTTGAATAACTCGTCTTCAGGAAAGTTAATTTTTAACATTAAAATGCTGTTAATGCTTTCTGACTGGCAGCATAGGCATTGTGTTAAACCAAAGTGGGGTGCACGTTCATAGGTCATCTGCAAAAATAAATAAAGCAATGAATACTGCTTTTCCTGTATTCACAAAAGAGGTCTGAAAAGTCACACCCAACACAAAAGGGGTGGACTTTTGCTTAGTGATAATGGCACAATCACTCTGATTATCCTCTTCATGTATTGCTTCTGTGGTGGAATAGGAGTTGGAACAAGAACATCACAGCAGAAATCCAGTGAGGTTGCCCTTCTCCCCCGGTCTCTGTCAGGAGCTTGGCTAACAAGGAATTATGCATTGTACCTCACTGTGCCTTCCCACAGCCCTTGAGATCTGCCACCTCCACCTCCCCAGCATTCTCTTACAACACTTATAACTTCCTATAATGTGTATAATTCCTTATCACATTCCCACCCCACATGTAGGTTACCAGCCTGGTGATGCTGTGTGATTACTCATGAGCTGATCGGCCAGCTGGCCCTACAACCCAAACAAGGAATCAGCTACCATTCTTTCCTTATCTAGTAGTAATTCCTCTCCTCTAACCAGCTGCCATGTTCCACAAAACTAGGACCTTCATCAACTCAACTCAGCTGGCTGAAGTTGGCCGGCACACTCAACACTTAGTGTGGGAGCAGATGGGCACACAAGCAGATACATAGGACAGGATCCCATGTGGTCAGCCTGGAATAATTCTGTCAGTGTTTTCACTGAACGTCCTTCTTGCTTTTCATTGTACATTTCCATTTGGTTTTGTAACATTATATTCCTCCTACTGTTGACCAGGGGATTTTGAAAGAGCAAACAAGTCAAGCAAAAAAGACATATAGAAAAAAGGAGGTACCTAATTCACACTTGTCTCTCCAGTTGTTTCATATATATATATAAATAAATATATAATAATATATATAATATATAATAAATATATATATACATATAAATACATAAATAAATAAAATTTGTTCTTTGTTTCTCAGCCAATAATATTTAATGATATGGAGGCCCCGGGCAGTCTGATCTAGTAGTTGGCAACCCTGCCCATGGCAGGGGATTGGAGCTTGGTGATCTTTAAGGTCTCTTTCAACCTAAGCCATTCTATGATTCTATGAGACTGGATTAGGAAATGAGAAATTTATGTATTCTGATGCAATGTATTGCTGAAACACACAAAATGTAGCATCTGTGATGGGTTACCATGAAGAGTTCCTGCTTGTTCCTCTGACTGTGAGGACGTGGTTTCCCAATATTTATAAAGAAGTGCTTTAGCTACCAGAGCAGGGTGAGGGCTATGTGCAACTGAATACTGACTAGAGCAGAGCTTAAAAACCCATTTCTTCTCTTCCCTCTTCATATGAGCAGCCATCTGCAGCACTTCTGGTTGACTCAGACACCCCTGTTTTCCAAAAGCCTCAAAAAAACTGATGCTGCGGGATCTTCAAATCACTCCCATTTACATGAAAGGGAGCAAGGAGGACCTGGGGAACTACAGGCCAGTGAGTCTCACCTCTGTGTCTGGGAAGATCCTGGAACAGATCCTCCTGGATGACATGTCTGATCGCACGAGGAATGGGCATGTGATCCGAGACAGCCAGAATGGCTTCAGCAGGGGAAGGTCATGCTTAACCAACCTGGTGGCCTTCTATGATGGAGTGACAGCATTGATGGACAAGGGAAAGGCGATCAATGTCATTTACTGGACTTGAGCAAGGCCTTTGACATGGTCCCCCACCACATCCTGATCTCCAAACTGGAGGGATGTGGATTTGATGGGTGGACCACTCAATGGATAAGAAACTGGTTGAAAGGCCGCAGACAGAGGATGGTGATCAATGGCTCTGTGTCCAGGTGGAGGCCAGTAATGAGCAGTGTCCCCCAGGGGTCTGTCTTGGGGCCGGTGCTCTTTAACATCTTTATCAGTGACATCGATGACGGAATCGAGTGCACCCTCAGCAAGTTTGGTGATGACACCAAGCTGAGTGGTGCAGTTGACACGGTGGAAGGAAGGGATGCCATTCAGAGGGACCTCAACAGGCTTGAAAGGTGGGCTCAGGTGAACCTGATGAGGTTCAACATGGCAAAGTGCAGAGTTTTGCACTTGGGTCGGAAGAATCCCAGGTATTTATACAGACTGTAAGGAGCGGTCCTTGAGAGCAGCCCTGCAGAGAAGGACCCGGGGGTCCTGATGGATGAAAAACTTAACATGAGCCAGCAGTGCGCTCTTGTAGCTTGGAAAGCAAATGGTATCCTGGGCTCCGTCAGAAGAGGGGTGGCCAGCAGGGACAGGGAGGTGATTGTCCCCTCTACTCTGCTCTTGTGAGGCCCCAGATGGAGCATTGTGTCCAGCTCTGGAGTCCCCAGTACAAGAAAGACAGGGAGCTGTTGGAGAGGGTCCAGAGGAGATCCACAAAGAAGATTCGGGGACTGGAGCACCTCCACTATGAAGACAGGCTGAGGGAGCTGGGCTTGTTCAGCCTGGAGAAAAGAAGGCTGCGGGGTGACCTCACTGCAGCCTTTCAATACTAAAGGGAGCCTACAAACAGGAGGGGAATCAACTCTTTGAAAGGGTTGATAACTGCAGGACGAGGGGAAATGGTTTTAAATTGAGGGAGGGGAGATTGAGGTTGGATATCAGGGGAAGTTCTTTACTATGAGAGTGGTGAGGTGCTGGAACACTCTCCAGAGAGGTTGTGGATGCCCCGCCCCTGGATGTGTTCAAGGCCAGGTTGGATGGGGCCCTGGGCAGCCTGGTCTAGTATTAAATGGGGAGGTTGGTGGCCCTGCCTGTGGCAGGGGGTTGGAGATTCATGATCCTTGAGGTCCCTTCCAACTCATGCCATTCTGTGATTCTGTGATCCTAAAAGCAGAAAAGACATATGCATTGGAGTTAGTCTATGAAGAAAGAACTTGTCACCTGGATATGCATAACTCTTCCTTGCATTCAGTGGTAATTTCACACTGTTAATTGCCCAA